TTAACCTCGAGTTATTCTATTATAAAGCTATAGTAATAAAACTTAATTTTTAATTCAATTAATTTTACATAAAAATTATAAACAAATTATATATCTTTTTTAAAATAACCTAAATTAACCTGATAATATTGGAGAGGAGATTAAAATGGATTCTAGAAAAGAATTGAAATCGGATGGTAATATAGCCTTGATTGCTGTTCAACGCTGACATCAAAGCCATGACCTCAGTCTTTAATCTTGTGCTACACATGTATGATATTTTTAACAAAGAACCCCTTGTAGTGTGCCTAACTAGGATGCGAAGATCAGTCTTCTGCATTCCTCCTTGAACTCTCTACTCGTTGTAAGCCAAGGAAGAACAAACAGAGAGACCTCAGTTGCAGAAATGAAGAAAGCTGAGCTAGTCCCCATACCAGCACCTGGTATAAGCCACCTTATGTCCACAGTAGAGGTAGCAAAGCAGCTTGTAGAACGTGATGAGATGTTTTCAATCACCTTCCTCATCATGCTCAAAGACTGGTTGCTACATTGATTCATTGAGTGCAACCGGCACTCGAATCCGGTTCATTAAGTTTTCGTTGCCTGAAGATGAGCATGAACCCAACAAGTTTCTTTTTTCTTTAATTGGAAACCAAATCCCCATATCAAAGAAAAAGTATTTCACGCACATTTATTACCACCAGTAAATTTTTATTTTAATTCATAATCAGAAAACTGATTAGAAACCATCAAAATAATAAAATTGTTTTCGGACTATAAAATACAGATAATTTCATGTAGGGTGTACTAGGGTACTAAAATCTTCTCTAATTATAATTAATATTTTATTTTTAAAATTTATAATAAGACCAATACATTCTTTAATGATTCTAAATTAAATAATTAGATGGTGACTTTTTGATTCTCTAATGCTACATGTATAATGCTACATGTAGCATTTATAATCCAACATAAATTCTTTAACAAGAAAATATTAATGTATTTCTTTAAAAAAAAATTAAATATAAATATAAAATTATTCTTAAATAACCCTTTGGTAACAAGGGTTTCGAACTCAAAATAATTTTATAGACTGTACTACAGCATGTGGGCTCATGAGTTTGAGCTATGCTTTGATCGATTAATGTGAGATACTTTATTACTAGGTCCATGTTTGATTAATACTTTTTTAAGTGCTTAAAATATTTTAATACATAAAGCCAATATATTAATTAAGTTATAAAAATGAATATATTTAAATAATACGCATTCATAATTTTTTCATGAATTATAAGTAATTCATTGAAAAAATCAAGTCAGCATGCGAGCCCATGCTGTGAACCTCGAATCGGTCTCTTAGGCTTCCGAAGCTTCTTCAAAAGCCTTCGCGTCCTACATTCCTTGATCAATCTCACGGTGATGAATATTATTGTTGTTGTCCACCTGTTATGAAATTTGTTATACTATGAAAACTGTCAAGAAAAAATATACATTTTTTCTTTATTTAAATTTTGAGATTAGTGCCTAATTTTTTTTAAAATATACCGAACTGGTATAAAGATGATGTGTTTTTAAAGTTATTCACAAACTAACTTTAATCTCTATTAACATCAATTAAAAAAAAAACATAGAAAATTTAGCCCATAATAACTGAGCGACGGCTAATAAGGGGTCAAAAAACATTGTCTTTTTATAACTTAAATTACTGACAGGGACTGCAATTCATTTTTTGGGGTCTTTTTGACGAATTGTAATCGTAGTCCACAATGACAGCAAAGCCATGACCTCACTCTCACTCTTGTCCTGCACGTATATATTTTTGAACAATAATTTGCCAATCTCAAGTCCGGTTAATTATAGCCACAAGTAGTGCCCTTAAGAAGGATATGAAAATCAGTCTTTTACAGGCAATCCCACCTTGAAATTCTCTAGCAAATACTGAAAAAAAAAAGGGAGCGCAATCGCAGAATGAAGAAAGCTGAGCTGGTCTTCATACCAACACCAGGTATAAGCCACCTCGTATCCACAGTAGAGGTAGCAAAGCTTCTTGTGGACCGTGATGAGAGGCTTTCAATCACCTTCCTCATCATGAAACTACGTTCTGACCCAAAGATTGATAGGTTTATAAATTCAGTGAGTACAGCCTGTAATCGTATCCGGTTCATTGACTTGCCTAAAGATGAGCCTGATCCAAACCAACCCAGGAAGTTTCTCTTTTCTTTGATTGAAGCCCAGATACCCCATGTCAAAGAAGAAGTCTTTAAGCTTGTGAGTCAATCGGAGTCAAGCCCTGACTCGCCTCCTCTTGCTGGGTTTGTTCTTGATATGTTTTGTACATCTATGATAGATGTGGCCACTGAATTTGGTGTTCCATCATATATTTTCTTTACGTCAGGTGCAGCTTTTCTTGGCCTTCAATTTTATGTCCAGGATCTTCACGATGAGCAGAAAGTTGACCCTACTGAGTTCAAGGGCTCGGATGCTGAGTTGGTCATGCCGTGTTTGGCAAATCCTCTTCCAGCTAAGGTCTTGCCTTCGGTTATGCTTAACAAAGAGTGGCTGCCACCTGTACTCCGTCAAGCTAGAAGGTTTAGAGAAAGTAAGGGTATTATAATAAACACATTTGAAGAGCTGGAATCTCATGCAATGGACTCCTTTTCTAAGGGTAATACCCCTCCGGTGTATCCAGTGGGTCCCATTTTAAACCTTAATAGAGATGGTGATGGTGACGAGGAGTCTGATAAAAACTGAATGCCTTTCAAATAATTGTGGAGCTCGGATTGGGAGTAGAGATTAAAATGGATTATAGAAGAGAGTTTATCTCGGATGGCAATGAAAATGTCATTAGTGCCGGGGAGATCGAGAGAGGAGTAGGGTGTTTAATGAAGCTTTGCGATGAGAGGAGGAGGAAGTTGAAAGAGATGAGTGGAAAGAGCAGGAAGGCTTTGGAAAACGGTGGATCCTCGTTCACTTGGTTAGGTCGTTTCATTCAAGATACGGTGGACCACCTACCATGATTAAATTGTACGCTTTTCAAATTATTTAATACGACGTTGTTTTTAATGTTTTCTTTCAAAATAAATAAATAAATATGGTACTAAAAATTATTGTCCTTGTAGCATGTTTTTAGTTAGATTTAGATATTCAGTATTGTCAAATTAAAAATCTTTTTAACCAACTAGATTACTACTAATTTCTGTTCTGTAAAAAGATTTTATCTTATTTTGATTCATTTATAAAAGTTGCAGTCTTAGACGCGTAGATAAATTTGAGTTTTTGAATCACTTGATTTTGATATTAGAAACTCAAGATTTTTCCGTTTGAATATTTAATGTGAAGGTAAAAAATTCTGTTGCGAGAAGGGTTTTGACCCGAGTCTGCACTAAAAAAACTCTATTTTTGGGCTATTTTTTGTGATTTTTGTTCTTATCTCATACTCTCAGTCATATCAGGATTCTCGATATTCATCAGCTTTTGAGTTAGAGTCGAAGATCCCTTTCGACCAACCAAATTATTATTAGATTATGTTATGTAAAAAGATTTTATATCACTTCAATTTCTTTATCAAAGTTGTAGTCCTGGATGCGTAGATAAATTTGAGCTTTTGAATCAGAGACTCAAGATGTTCCCGTTTGAATATTTAACGTAAAGGTATAAAATTCTACCGCGAGAAGGATATTGCTCCAAGTCTACACTAAAAAAACTTAATTTTTGGCCTAGTTTTTATGATTTTTGTTCTTATCTTATACTCTGAATCATATCAGGATTCTCGATATTCGTCAGTTTTTGAATTAGACCTGGAGATCCCTTTCAACTAACCAAATTACTATTAGATTCTGTTCTGTAAAAAGATTTTACCTCACTTCGATTCCTTCATCAAAGTTTTAGTCCCAGACGCGTAAATAAATTTAAGCTTTTAAATCACTTGATTTCGATATCAGAGGCTCAAGATGTTCCCGTTTGAATATCTAACATGAAGACAGAGAATTTTGCAGCAAGGATATTGACCCGAGTTTGCACTAAAAAAACTCTATTTTTAGCTTAGTTCTTGTGATTTTTGTTCTTAGTTCATACTCTTAGTCATATTAGGATTCTCGGCATTCGTCACTTTTTGAGTTAGACCTGAAGATCCCTTTCGACCAACCAAATTACTACCAGATTATGTGCTGTAAAAAGATTTTATCTCACTTCAACTCCTCATCAAAGTTTTATTCCTAGATGCGTAGATAAATTTAGGCTTTTGAATTACTTGATTTCGATATCAGAAGTTTAAGAAATTCCCATTTGAATATCTAATGTGAGGGCAGAAAATTTTGTCGTAGGAAGGATATAGCCCAAGTTCGCGTAATTGATTCGAAAGATTTTTTTTAGACTAAGAATTAAATTGAAAAGTGTTAAAATGAGGAATTGAATTGAAGAAGGATATTGAAAGCTAGAAGGGGGGCTGGATCATCATAAATAACATGATTTTTTACCATACCGAATAAGAAAAATAGGACTTTGCAGCTGTACCCTCCATCTGATTTCTTTCCTTTTGTTCTCTACAAATTCCTGCTGTTTTTCTTTCTCATCATGCCTGATTTTTTGAATTGAAGACCACATTTTTGTTACCTCATTCCAAAAGGAGCAACTAGCCCTATAGAAGGAAAAGAAAAAAGTCATACTATCCTTTAAAACTGGAAAGAAATCAGACATAAACACAAAATCAAAATCAGAATATTACAGCTTTCTTTTTGTGTTTTTTTATTGCAAATCAGTAGGGATTTGCATCCTAGGATTAATGCATTGAATCCTTTCTAAATAGAGACATATCTAGACTATATATAAGCCCTTCTAATGACCTAAAAAAAGGGAAAAAAAAAGAGAGAGAAAAAAAAACGAGTAGAAAAATAAGAAAAGAGAGAAGAGAATAAAGAATGGGAGAGAGACAGCAAAAGAAAAACAAGAAAGACACATTTGCTTCATTTGTTTTTTGCAAATAAAAACAAAAAAAAATAGGAAAAGAAAATTAGGAATCAGTAGAGAAAGTGACGGAGGCGCAGAGTGAAGGAGGCAATAAGCATACCCAAACATAGAACAGAAGAAAAAGGACGGACGCAGACTGAGCAACCATCACTCTTCCATCGCCACTACAATTTCTCCATCTCCAGGTTGGTTTTCCATTCACCTATTGCATGCTTTCTTTTGCTTTGTATTTGCACTGTTAGCGTGGTCTTTTTCTTTGTAACGTATGTGTCTATACTGTTCAAATGAATTAATTCACTTGAACAGTAGCTCCCCATTCACAAAAGAGGGTTGCACTCCTTTTGTGTCCAGCCGGGTCACTTGCTTGGGCAAGTGACTTGGCCAGAGCTTCCTTTTTTTTTTCAAAAAAAAAATAAAAGAAAGAGAAAGTGATTTATGATTTTTTGGTATATTTATTTTAAGGTCTGAAATTTTTTTATGTTTGTAAAAAAACTATCAATCTTGTATTTAGAATACCCAGTTTTTGACCAAGAAACTATAAAAAAATGTTTTTATGTATTGCATATGCCAATATCTTAACATGTTTTGAATGTTTTTTTTATACAAAAAATATTAGAAGTTTTGAAAAATGTATTTTCGCATGGATTTCTTAAACATAAAACAAAATATTTTTTGTTTTCTTGCATTTCTAAATTTTACAACATGTTTATAAAACTCCAAAGGATATTGGTCAATATTCCAAAAAACATATAAAAATCATATCTTTGGAGGGAATTCATCTATTATTTACAACTAATGTTTGGATAAAACAATCCCTAAGGGACAAATATCAAAAATATTATTGAGAATAATTTGTTATTATTCACTATTAATATTTGGATAAAGAAACCCTAAGTGGTAAATATCCAAAATATTTTTTTAGGAATAATAAGTAATCACACATTCTTGAAAGAAGCCTCAATTATAATTGAGGACATTTCAACTTTTTACTCCACGATTTACGAGTTGTGAAAGTATGAAATACTAAGGTAAAAAGAGGCTTTTAAAGTGCACTAGATTTCTAAATTTTTGTTCCTCCTCCTTGCAATTTACAAGTTGCAAACTCTTGAAATACTAAGGAAAAAATAAGCTTTCGAAGCACACAGAATCTTCTTGGATTTCTATCTTAATAAATTTAGTTTCAATCAAACTTAAAAAAACCAATGGGATTAGAAAACACCAACACCATAACACTTATAAAGCAAATCAAACATCAAGCAGCTTACCTTAAGTAGGGCGTACTAGGAGTGCTAATACCTTCCCTTTACGCAATTAGTTTCTTGCCTTAGAATTTCTGAAAGAGTAGTTGGGGATCCTAGTAATTAATAACTAGGTGGCAACTCCCTTTATTCACAAAAAACAATGAAACCCGAAATCAAACAAAACATCGCCATCAAACACCGCGTGCAAGAGGGTGCGACAAACTCAACACCCTTTAAAATCATCAAGCCTAGATGCTAGGGTTGGCAAGACATCAAGCCCATAAAGAATAGGCTTGCTGTCTTGCCACAAAAACTAAGAATTATGTATAAAAAATTATTAAAAAAATCATTTCTAAAACTACAATTAAAGATGTTTTTGTTAAATTTTTTAAAATATAAAAAAATATTTAAGCATTATTAATGCTGGTTAAAAAAAAACCTTGACTACCTAATCAGCAACTACGAGGGTTAAAAAATAATGAATTTTGCCATGAATTGTCTCATTATGTCCAAGGTATAATAAAATAAAATAAAAACCTTAAACTCAACATCATTTAAAAACATACACCAAGTCCAGATATTAGGTTTGACAAGATATCAAGCCCACAAAAAATAGGCTTGACGTCTTAACACAAAAATTAAAAATTATATATAAAAAAATTATAATTTTTTTTCTAAAACTATAATTAAAGATTTTTTTTGTTTTAATTTTTTTGTTAACAAGATTTAATTTCGCTAGAATTATTGGCCTATACTATAAGTGAATTAGGTTAAATTTTTTTAAATGTAAAAAAATATTTAAGCATTATTGACGAAGTAATTGTAATTGTAAGAAAACCACCATTTCCTAATCAGATATCCATCTACAAAACACACCCATCAGGAAGAAAAGGATTGACAGTAAAAGATTCGATCACGTTAAGAAAATTCCAGGATGTTTTAAGAAAATTTCAAGTGAGTCAGTCCGGGTGAGCCAGTCCGAGTCAAGCCCTGACTCATTGATTCATTGAGTGCAACCGGCACTCGAATCCGGTTCATTAAGTAGTCGTTGCCTGAAGATGAGCCTGAACCCAACAAGTTTCTCTTTTCTTTAATTGGAACCCAAATCCCCATATCAAAGAAAAAGTATTTCACGCACATTTATTCCCACGAGTAAATTTTTGTTTTAAATCATAATTAGAATACTGATTAAAAACCATCAAAATAATAAAATTATATTTAAACTATAAAATACAGCTGATGTTACGTAGGATGTATCAAGATACTAATATTTTCTTTATTCATAATTAATTTTTTATCTTTAAAATTTATAATAAGATCAATATATCCAAGTTTTTTAATTGTTTTGAATCAAATAATTAGATGATGACGTTTTGATTCTCTGTAACATCACATTTATAATCCAAAATTCTTTAACAAGAAATATTAATATATTTCTTGAAAAAAATTAAATATAAAAATTAAATTAAATATTAATGTATTTCTTGAAAAACCTAATTAAACTTAAAATAAT